GTGCTAAGCTACGCCCTAAAAGGCTTGGGCCCAACATACAGAATCAACAGAAAATTAAGGGCCCAAGGCATTCAACAAATCTCCACCTGGACCCCCCGACTCGCTGACCGGGCAGCGAGACCCCCGTCCTTTCTGTTTGTAGCGGGTCCGATTCAAGGCATTCAACATTTTTCATCTCCTTTCCGGCCACTTTTCCATTACAAAAAAAATAAATAGTTGTTTTTATTGTAATTGTTACTCTCTTTTAATAACTTTTTTAGTCGATGAAATTATAACACTATATTGTTCGTCAAGAAAAGCCATAATAATTCTTTTAGTTGAATATAAGGTTTTTCAAACATTTTTTAGATATCAATTAATATGTGAGCTTAACTAAATAATACGAGAAGTTGAATATTAAGTATTTCAGACATCTTTAGAAGATCTAGTGTTTGATAAAGACTTTAATGCCAGAGAATTGAAGATTATATATGAGAGAGGAAAATGAAATATCATATTGAATCGTCAAAGCAAAGTTAAGACTAATCGATATGAATGACGAAATGAAATATTCCTTTTAACCTTAGTCAAACTATATATACTGCACCATATTTTCTTTTTAGTTTTATATATACTTCTCACGTCCTATAATAATTGTCACATTACATTTCTCAAGTCAAATTATCTAATTCTTTATCAATATGTGATTTTCATCTTGATGATATAGTATTTCTCGTACAATTTTTAAAATATTAAATTAATTTGATTTTAAAAAGTTAGTCAAGTTAACTCTTGAAGGCAATAACACGAAAAGTATTTCGAAATAGAAAAAATACTATGTACAAACATTATTTAATCTTATTTTCTAGATTTTCCACTTGTAATTACAATCTAAATGACCTGATAGTATCTTCTTTTTTTATATTCTCAATTTCAATTTCTGATACAAAATTTAATTCAATATAAAATTTTTAAGTTTAATAAAAAAGATTTTGAAAATTGAAAAATCGTGATGAAGAATTTAATTAGTGATAATTGTATATGTTTTTCTTGATTGATAATATAAAAATATTTGTACATAACTGATTTATAATTGGAAGTAGAACTTGTAAATTACTTGCACTTTATTTTTATTGATGTTGGATGTGTTGTTTAATTGTGTATAATAATCTTTTTTTATGTAATTATATATATTTGATTCATTGTTTTTATTTTAAAGTATAGATATCTGATTCTAATATTATTTTATTTGTGATAAATTTTTCTAAATTTTTGTATGTATATTTACTTCGAGATATTTTCAGATATCGTATATGAAGTTTCAGATATTGTATATGAAGTTTGCATATTGCTGAAGTTTAGATACACATACGTTTAAAGTTTTATCATTTTTAATTTTTTCTTACACTTAATCCATATGTGCGTGATTTTCGAACATAATAGAAGTTCAATCAATTTTATCTGAACTTACAAAAATTATTACATTTTAGCCATATATGTAACTTCATATGTACATTGTATTTGAAGTTTCATTTTATCCGTCACAAGTAAATATATTGCGTTTTAACAACACATTATATTTCGTATCAATCAATACAAAAGAAAAAAAAAACACCAAGAATTGTGGTGAGTTGAATAAATACCCTTCAAAACGTGTATCTTTTATTATGCAAATCACTTGTAATTTTACATTATTCAAGCAATTCTATCACAAATCAAAAAAAAAAATACACAGTAGATGGATGTGCTTTTAACATATAATGAGCAAACTATGCAAATCTTACCAATACTTAGTTTGTAATAAAAAAATATAACCATAGTGTGAGTCAGTTTGTGTACACCTTGACAAAATCTACACGTACTTGCTAGCTCCCACCAGCACAGGTATCGGGTAAAAATCTTATATTTTTGAACGAACCTTATCGATTAGTTCTCTTCTTAGGATTTTCCCAGAAGCTGACTTGGGAACACTGTTTATGAATGTCACCTTCTTCAATCTTTTGAAAGGTGCAACCTGCATAGATATGGATCGAAAAATGAAAATAAGATCTTGAAATGGGCAAAACATACACTCGGGGTGAGCTGTAACGACTTATATTTCAAGATTTCCAGTTTTCCACCTCCCAAGCCAACCCAACTACCCACCGTAGTTCCAACAAAATATTGAGCATAATGTCGGTCTCAAGCCTAGATATAACGGAGGAGTTTTTGGTACCGTTAACAGTTAATGTAAAACTATAATCAGATCTTGATTAATCTTTCATAGTACAGAACTATGTTTGGTATGTGCTCCTAGGCTGCTCACCTAGGTAACCGTGATATTGGATCGAGACAGAGTCTAAAAGAAGCGATATGGATAGTAAGGGTTCATTTGGATTGAGACGTATTTGTTGTAGCTGTTTTAGCATGTGAAGTGACAACTTAATTCGGTAAAACACATCCCGGCAGATAGTCTGAAGAGGGTCCATGCCTAACACCAGCATAGCATACTTTGAGACAGTTATGATGGTGTTCATATGATCAAGAACCCTGACTTATTAGGTTAATTTTCTTTTTAGCTAATATATAAAGATCTTCTAGGCTAGTCGTGCAAACATCTTATGTATATCTAAAGAGATGTCATTGTTTCACGAGCATATACCTGATCCGCAATGAACTTTTGAACATCTTCTTCAGTCAGAGAGCTATTGGGAGAGCGAACAACATATGCAACCGGAACCTCACCAGCCTCAGCATCAGGAAACCTACAAGGGAACTCTTAACTTAGTATTTTGATGTATCATATTTTCAGGTAATAGTACAGTATCACATGACATTTTTCTTTGGATAAATCACCAGTAGCATGTGAATTGTGATGTTCGAATAAGATAGCTTCAAAATTTACTAAAACAAGACTTACGGGATAACAACAGCATCTAATATTTCAGGATGAGAAACAAGTAGACCTTCAAGCTCTGCTGGTGCAACCTGATAAAAAAAAGAAGCTTGAATTGATTAATTGATACAAGAATCGATATGCATCCACAGAACACTACATAATTCCTTCATAATATGAAATTTGATCTGTCCAACTATTTGCAAAATGGAAATGAAAGTAGACAGTTGATGTTGAAAAGTTAACTATGGCTAGTGGATATGATAGGTTATTTTCAACTAGGTTACTAGGATTCTAATGTGGATGTTAGAGCATGCTACATTCGTCCTTCATCGGTTGTGTAAGAGTTCCCAAAGGGGTTTAAATGATCACGGCTACTCCCATTGTCTTAAGGTTAAAACGAGTTTACTTGCACATTCAGCAAGTAAAATGGAATATACCCTCTCTGCAAAGAATTGTAAATCAATCCAAATGGAACAGGAAATATTTGCCTTATGAAGCATCTAACGAGGCACTTTTCCCTTCAGGAGCGACCACGATATGTGCTTTATTCTGAACTTTTACGGAAAGCTCCTTGGACTACAATCCTATTTGGAGAATCCAATAGGGGACTACTAAGGGCATATTCCGTAAAGCGACCACCACAGAGGCAGACTCAACCTGCCATTATGTAGAGATTGTAAATAGACAGCCTCCTAGTGGGCATTTCACCCACACATAGCACACAACCTGTTTAAGGGAAACGACATACTGAAGGAGTCCCAATAGCTGAAAAGATCATTTTATTTCACCCACACGTAGCACACAACCTGTTTAAGGGAAACGACATACTAAAGGAGTCCCAATAGCTGAAAAGATCATGTTGTGAGCAGTTCTGAGAAAGCAGTAAAGATGATCCTTTTTGGCAATCAAACCAAAATGCTTTCCAGGAACATTAAAAACTGATATAAATGTTTCTCCAGGAACTTGTTGTCAGAAACTAATCCAGCATGCAACTTGGTCGTGAGCAGCTCATACAATAATAAATATGTATAATCAATGAAATCAGAAAGATAGGATTATGACCCCTTCATCATATCAAGATTTGGTCGTGAAACTAATGCATATGTACCACGTCAGGGCATGGACAGCATGGACAAAATTGGGTCTAGCAAGTCCAGCTGAGTCTATGCTACTTCTATTTTTAAAACCTGGAGAAACTCCGTCATCACCAAAATAGAGGGTACCTGAAAACCTTTGTACTTGATGAGCTCTTTGATCCTGTCAACGACATAAAGCAATCCATCCTCAGTAAAGTACCCAAGATCTCCTGTATGAACCCAGCCCTGATTATCTATAGTGAGCATTGTGGCCTGTGGATTGTTGAAATAGCCTGAAAATAGCAAGACTCCATGAAGAACATGCTAATGACCTGGTCATTGTGAAATGTGAGAAACCAACAACAACATGCCCAGTGAAACCCGTCAATCTCATGACAGTCGCTACAAACTATTCATTTTTAGATTGACAATTATTGCCTTGTCCAGAAGAAACATATTAGCTCAAAAAATATGCCCTTTGGCGACAAACCAGAGTTAAATTTATAAGAGTCTATAGGTCAATTGAAGTAAACAAAAATCCTGGAGAGCATCTCAACTGTGATACTATCTCATAATATCTTCTTTTTTCTATTTTGGGCAAGTAAAATATCGGGGAGAATCGCCATACTTCAAGAGATTTAAATGCAACAAGGTGCAAGGTGTAATTTTCATACAGATCGGATGGAGCTTTTGAATGATGAGTTCAACTGAACGCAATATTTTGACATAAAGCATATATATATATATATATATATATATATATGTAATAACAGTACTCCCTCCGTTTCAATTTGTTTGATTGGTTTTAACTTGGCACGGAGTTTAAGAAAGTAAGGAAGAGTTTTGAATCTTGTGATTTTAAACTAAAGATATGTAGAATGTACCAAAATATCCTTTAAATTTGTGGTCTTTAACATGTACCATGGAAAGTTGAAATTAAATGAGTTGCCAAAAAAGGAGAGAGACATTCTTTTCTAACCGGATTAAAAAGGGAAGTAAGACAAAAAGAATTGAAATGGAGGGAGTAATATTTTGTTTTTTTTATGTCCGTGGTGTCCTGGCCACTTTTCTCACACCTCAACTAATTCCACGGGGTACCTGCCACTGGTCAGATACCAGGTAACTCTGTCCATAAAGGCTAGGGCAGATGGGAAGAATCACCAAGTGTTCTTTTGTCTCCGCTAAGTTTTGAACCTGAGACCTCAGTTCTCAACCACTTCATTGACCACTTATACATACCACAAACATTATATACTAAACCCATGATTTTCAGAAGTACAATGAGTTCATACATAAGAATATTAAATGTTGAACTCGTCAGTTTATATCTTGGTTCTGCCTTTTTATTCATTGTACTGCTAGTACCTAGCATATTATGTTACTCCATAGATGAGCAAAAGAAGATAGTCCTATTCCATAATACATGAACCTCTTATATATAAACTAAAAGGCTTAAGTCATCGACAGACCCTTAAAGTTGTCCGCATAATTCACTTAAACACCTCAATTGAGGTTTGTACCTATTGAACACTTTGACTCTTCTGAATTTGAACCATTTAAACACGTTGTGCATACGTGGCACAAAAAGTGTATTCTACACGCTTTTAGGCGCGTGAATCATTTAATCAGTGCCTTTTTAATTTTTTTTTTCTCGTGGTATTTTTTAAAAAAATAAAAAGAACAATTCTTCTTTCTTCTTTCTTCTTTCTTCTTTCTTCTTTCTCTCTCAAAATTGCAAATCGCTGCCATCAATTATTCATAATAATAAAATCTACCATCTTACATTTTTTTTTATAGATTTACTTCTTCTGAATTTATGCTTAAATTTAATAAGAAATGTGAGTCCTTATTTCCTTTGTTATAAAAAATGAAAGAATATAATCTAAATTTTCTTGCCGGAAAAAATGGAGATCACCATTTTTATTTTACCGGAAAATATGGAGGCCACCGGAAAATATAGAGGCCACACACACAGCCTCAGGTTCACACCCATTCTTTCTTCATTACGAAACAAGAACAGAAATTAAATTTAAATCAAAACAAAAAGACACTGAACATATTCTTTTTTATACGAAAAAATATACTATCAATTGTGAAATAGGAACAAAAAAGAAAACATAAAGAGAAGTAAAGAAAAAAAGAAGAAGATAAATTCATACTTAGTATATATTAAAATCTCCATTTGGAAAATAACAATGGTGGAAAAGAGGTGATTTTAGTGAGAGAAGAAAAGGAAAGATTTGAGGTGGTGAGAGTGCAGGTGGGTGTGAGGGTGATAACATGATTTTTATTTTATTTTTTAAAAAGTTGAAATTCTTATTTTTTTTATTTAGATTCTTTTATTTTCAAAATTCATTTATAGAATTATTTTAAATTTAAATACTACGTGTCTTTATTTGATTTGCTATTTTGCCACATCAGTTGCATGTGCATTACACGCGCTTTCTCTTTTGACCAGGTCTTATAAAAATGTTTGATAGGTACTTATTTTTTAAGGTTTGAGCGTCTAACAGAAAATCAGCATGTTAAGATGTCTAAGTGAATTTTGCAGACAACTTCAAGGGGCCGCAGATGACTTAAGCCAAACTAAAACAAGTCAAACTTAGCAAATATTTTACCTTTCATCATATTGGGACCACGGACCCATATTTCACCTAATTGCCCAGGAGGAAGAGGCTTCGATTTATCAACACTAACTATTTGAGCTTCAATTCCAGGAGCTAAAGACCCTGCTGATCCTGTATGTCTAGGACCTACACACATATTCTCCACTGAAACAATTCCACAGGTTTCTGTCATACCGTATCCCTGAAATTACAGTACTAGTAATATGAGAAGCCCACATTGTTCTTCCTGTCGAATGCCATGACCATATATGTAAAACTATTAACATTGACCATAACATCGGTCTGATTATTCATTCATTTCATGCGTATGATGTTCTGGTCTAAAAATGAAAACAATAAACAAGGTATCAAAGAATTGAGGCTCATAGAATTGTATTTCTTCCACAATAATGGTTAGGCAAACAGATAAAGAGAAGAGTAGTTTTGATGTTTAGAAGTCAAATGCCTACTCAAGGAGTACTATATTGAAATTTGAAGGTTAAAACAAAAACTACTACTCCCTCCGTTTCAATTTGCTTACTTACCTTTCAGTCTATTTGAAAAAGAATGTCTTTTTAGTATCACGAGATTCAAGAGTTCTCTTTACTTTCTTAAACTTTGAGACAATCAAATTGAAACAGGGGGAGTTTAACTAACACATGTCAATCCCAAACTACTCGTGGTCAGTTGTAGCAATCCTTTAAATGCATTATGATCCATTTTGACCTATTTCATTCCACTAAAAGGGGTAGCCTGGTCCACTAAGCTCTTACTATACATAAGGTCTGGCAAGGACCACAACCCATAAGGTCAATTTTATGCAAACCTACCTTGCATTTCTACAAGAGGTCGTTGTCAAGGGTTGAACCTGTGACATCATGATCACATGGCGGTAACTCTTACTTATATTGGGGAAATATCCTTCATTCCAATACTTAAAAGATAAAAATTACCTGCATAACAACAGCCTGAGGGAAGTTCTTAGCGCAATCCTCCATCAAATCCTTCCCTAAAGGCGCAGCCCCGGATCCAATTTGCTTTATCGACGTTAAATCATACTTCTTCACCACAGGATTCTTAGCCAATGCTAAAACAATCGGAGGTACAATCCATAAATGACTCACTCTATACTTATCAATATTCTTCAAAAGCGTTTCCAAATCAAATTTCGCCATAGATACAATAGCATTACCCCTTTGCAACTGTGAGTACATGATAACAGCAAGACCAAACACATGAAACATAGGCAAAACACACATATACACATTATGCATTTCCCCAGCCAAATCTTGATCACTAGATACCATTAAAGCCGCCGATATGAAATTCCTATGAGTTAACACAACACCTTTACTAACCCCCGTTGTACCCGAAGAATACAACAGTACAGCAGTATCAGTTTGTTTCACCACAGTTTTATCCAAATCAAAACACCCAGCTTTATCCACTAGCTCAGTAAACCTTACAACACCTGCATTATTCGAATTCGAATTTCCCAAAAGCAAAATAGGCAAATTAAAACTATTAACTTTATCAAACAATTCAGGAGAAGTAATAATAAGGCTTGGTTTACAATCTTTAATTTGCTTAGAAAGTTCAGCAACAGTATACATAGGATTAACAGTTGTAGCAATAGCACCAATAGCAATAACCCCAAAGAAACTTAAAGGAAATTGAACAGAATTTGGGGCAAATATCAAAACAACGTCATTTTTCTTGATACCCATTTGGTGAATAAGTCCATGAGAGATTCTTGACACCATAGATTTGAACTGAGAAAAAGATAAAGTTCCACCATTATCAGCATCAAAAAACGCAGGTTTTTCAGGGTAAGATGAAATCTTTCTGAATAAAAAAGAAACCATAGATAAATTTTCATCTTTTGGATAAAATACAGGTGGTCTAAGAGATCTGTATACCCCATCACGGCCATAACCAGATTTCTCCATAACAATCAAAAATCAAATTTTTTTTTTGCTTTTCTTGATTCTTTTTAGATTTTGGATTTTTCAGTGACAAAATTGAAATGGGTATTTGTAAAAACAGATATAAAAATCAACATGACAATGATATACACATCATCCTTGCCATTGTAGAGTACACTATTCAAATATATGAGAGAAAAAGTCAAGATTATTTATGTATTATTTTTCTTTGGACCATTTATAATGATTTATTAGTTTCTAGGTGAAGTACATCATAGTATTATCTTAAATAATGTAATGTCTTAATCTTAACACAAATTATTATGCTTTAAGTTTATTTTTAAAAATTATGAATAGTTTTAAAAATATTCGTTTATTTAATTAAATAAATTCAAATATTCTTTTAATCTTACGACATGAATGAAATATCCTAAATATTACCTAAATTAGTTTGTTTTCACCATTTTTTAAAATTCTTCATCAAGAGAATCACGTGTGACAAATCGAGGCAATCTAAGTTTAGTCAGTTGAGAGTGTTTGTCAATAATTCAAAAATGAAACTAACAATTTATGTTAAATTTAATGATTTTTTCAATACTTTTCTCGATCATCGATCATGTGGCAGATTGAAGTTATCTAAGCTTAGTTAGTGAGAGTGTTTATCAATAATTTGAAAATAAAACTACTAATTTATGTTAAATTTAATGATTTTTTCAATACTTTTCTCGATCATCGATCAGTAATACTACTATTTGTTACTTTAGAAAAAGAAATTGAAACTAATAAATAATTAAGTGTAGTTTGTTACATTACTTTTATTTAATATATATGTGATTTGAAAATTAATAGAAATGGAGTATGAGAGTATAGTTAAAAAAATATATATATTTTCTTAGAAGTGTCAAATATGAATTAACAATCAAATTTATATATTAAACTCTTTTACTTTTAAATTTATATCTTATAACATAAGAAAATCAAACCACCACTTCATGTACATACCTTATCAAATGAATGAAATTTAAATCTCTAAAATGAAAAAAGAAAAAAAAAGAAAAAAAATTACAAAAAAATTCTCCATCTTAAATAAATTTTATATAGTACAAATTAAAATTAAAATATACTTTTAACTATCAATATCTATCAAGTCTTAATTATTTGTGGTAGACATGTCGTGCACGTCTATGAAATACAACGACTACCATAAACAGACGCACACATTTAAAAAAATTATAAGTTTAAAAAAAAATATCAACTCAATTATTAGTACAAACATTTAATGATTCTATTTTATTTTTAGTCTGATTCAAAAATAATGATTCCTTTCTATTTTTTGGCGATATTTTAATTTTAACTTTTTACGTGGCATATTCAAAACCACAAGATTAAAGGACATTTTGATACATTTAATATAACTTTAATTTAGAACCACAAGATTAAAAAATCTTCTTCTTTTGCTTGAACTCCGTTCCAAGTGAAACTAGGTAAATTTTTTTTAAGCAGAGGAAGTACTAAATAGACACTTTATTCATTTCAAATTAATTGTCTTGAATCTCAAATCATAATATTGATCAACTTTAAGAAGAAAATAACAAAAGGACAACATTTATATTAAGAAAAAAAATTATTCATATTTAAATGTGTGAGTTTTTGGGTATTGAAAAAAAAATTATTCACTCCGTTTAAAAAAGAATGATCCTATTTTATTTTTATTCTGTTTCAAAAATAATGATTTCTTCTCATTTTTGGCAACGTTGTAACTTTAATTTTCCACGTGGCATGTTTAAGACCACAAGATTAAAAGACATTTTGATACATTTGACATAACTTTAATTTAGAACCATGAAATTAAAAAAAAAAATTTGCTTAAACTCTGTATTAAATCAAACTAAGTTATTTTTTTTAAGCAAAGGAAGTACTAAATGAACACTTTATTCGTTTCAATAATTGTCATTTTGAATATTTCTTGAATCTCAAATCATAATATCGATCAACTTCAAGAAGAAAATAACAAAAGGACAACAATTATATTTAAGAAGAAAAAATTTATTCATATTTAAATGTGTGAGTTTTTGGGTATTGAAAAAAAATACTCCATCCATTTAAAAAAGAATGACCCTAATTTATTTTTACTCTGTTTTAAAAAGAATGATCCTTTTCCATATTTAGCGTAAATTTAATTTTTCACGTGGCATGTTTAAGACCACAAGATTAAAGAACATTTTGATACATTTGACATAATTCTAATTTAGAACCACAAAATTAAAAAATCTTATGTTTTTGTTTTAGGTCATCATTTTTCAAGCGAAGGAAGTACTAAATAGACATTTTATTCATTTCAAATTAACTGTTATTTTTATTTCTTGAATCTCAAATCATAATATTGATCAAATCTTATTGATATAATATTCGAAATTTTAAATTATGAAATATAAAATATTCATCAACGACTTTTAAAAGAATTTATTATTATACTCAACACACGTCGTCGTGAACAAAGCAAATTAATATTTAAGCAATTTCTTATGAATCGTGACTAGTAAGCAAATAATTAAACTAATGTACCTCTTACCTAATCTTTTTTTTTTCTCACACATTATTCACAAGTAAATATTAAATTTTTCAAAATATATTTAATTCCTCCACTATCAAATTATGACCGCTTTTAAATTTGGATTAATGTTGCTATAGAATGATAAGTATTTAATTTTTGTTTAATTTGAAATTTAAAATTTGAATTTAAATTTTTTAATTTAAAAAATTATTTTTAAAATGAGATTTTTCAATAGAAATTTAAATTGATTGAATTTTATAACAGATACAAACAGTACTTTTAAAATGGTAGTAGTTGACCACAACTTTGTTCTAATTCTAGTAATATTCTTGAATTAAATAAAAATGCGTATTTTTTATCCCTTCACATGAGGAGTGTGTCACATTTATATTTTCATAAAATTAAAAATATTCTTAAATATAGAGTAATATTAATAGTTGGATCGTGTTGGAAGTGTCACTCACATATATTGAATGGAAAATTATAAAAATATTATTAGTTAAATAGTTAAAATCATAATTAATGCATAATAAAATTACGTATAATAAATTTTTGTGAATCAATTTTTTTTTTCAAATTCTACAATAAAAGCGTAATTTATCGAGTTGACACTCATTAAATTAATGAAAAGTTTTGAAGGATCAAATATATCTGATTCAATTATTTAAGGACTAAAAATACAAAAAATAAAATAAAATCCTTACTTCAAACATATTTGGTAAGTAGTATGTGATTAAGTCAATTAAAATTTTTTTGTTTCGGTTTAAATATCCATTATAGTTATCTTATGTCTTTCTTAATTTCGCATTCAATTAATTTAGTTATACATATAAAATTTAAAATGTATATTTTACTATAAGATTGTTTTTTTAGAACTATATTAATATGAATTGTGATATGATATCAAAATTATTCCATTTTTTTATTAAAATTTTATTTATGTCATTACTTTCAAAAAGACTAATGCGTTATCTAAATTTTTTTAATATTTTAGTGTGAACTCCATACACCTTAATCAAAAGAAAAATAAAAAATAACTAAACATCACCTAATGGTATAAAACAAAATCATCACTTGCTTAAAAAGTAATGATCTAGATAATTGGGATTAGTAATTTAAAGAAGGACAACTTTCACGTATAGCAAACAAAAAATTTATATTTGTATGCTATAGCAACATTTGCATAATTGTGCTCCATAGCAAACATAAAACTGTATAATTCGCTATACATATACAATTGTATAATTCGCCGGTCTAAATTATATAATTCGCTGGCCTATTTCGTTGCAATTGTATAATTCGCTATCCTATTTCACTGTAATTGTATAATGCACAATTGTATAATTCGTTGCCTATTTCGCTGCAATATTTGTATAAAATTTGTTTTGCATACAATTGAATCGAAGTAAAATGTATGTATATTGCATAATAATAAGTGTATTGGAAGGAAATATATGTTTTTCTCTCGCTTTATACAAAAATGGAAACACAATATATACGCTTCTGTTGTATAAAGCGAGAGAAAATTGTACTTCACTGCAATTGTATAATTCGCAATTGTATAATTCGTTGGCCTTTTTCGCTGCAATGTTTGTATAAAATTTGCATTTGTCTACAATTTAATTGAAGTAAAATATTTAAAAATTGTATAATTAAGTGTATAGCCCGAAAATATATGTTTTTGCATGTGTATATACAATTTTCTCTCGTTTTAGACAAAACAGAAACATAATTTATACACTTCTGTGTATAAAGCGAGAGAGGCGAGAAAAGGGAGAGTGGCGAGCGAGAATGAGAGAGTGGCGAGCGAGATTTTAGGAAGAGAGGCTACTGGCAAACTTTGGCTAACGTTTGCTATGGAACACAATTAAATCAAACCGTAGCTACTCCATTTATTTTAGACTTTTAGTTTGCTATTATATACAATTATCTCTTTAAAGAATAAGACAAATAATTTGCTTGAACATATTAAACACCGTTAACGTACTTTTTTCATTTTTTTAAGGAAAAATTATATAAACACAACTTATTTTACTTTATTTTTTTAAATTTTCTTATAATTTGAAAAAATTATAAAAATCCCTTTATGCAATGTACTAGTTAGATACATCACTTTACACGATGTATTAATCGGATACATTATTTTACGCGATATATAGGTTGGATACACCACTTTACAATGTATTGGGACGTACATGATGCACCAAAACGTTACTTTAAGCGATGTACTAGTCGGACACATCACTTTACACAATATATGGAGACGCATGCGATGTATGAAGACATTGAGTGATGTATATGAAACCGCAATGTTATGTGTATCGTGACGTTAGGGTATGTATCAAAAATAATAGAACGATGTATCAGATCGTTTTGGGATGTACCCGAATTCTGTCTAATTTATGGATTTTTTTGTAATTTATAAAGGAGCAGGATATGTTGTAATTAGTTCTTAACACTATGAGATTTGTGTAAAATCTACTTTTTTTAATGGTATTATTATGTACAAATTAAATTTTTGTCTCCTGGTCGGTGCATAGCGCATTTTAGGGAAATCGTAGTAGTTTAAGCTAACGTTTGGTTATAGATTTCTAAATACTCTTGGCAAATATTATTTCAGTGAAAATTTGGGTAAAATTTTATCATGTGTTTGGCCATAGTATCCCTTTTTCAATTCAAGAAGTGGAGGAGCCTATGTAGAAGAAGTTGTAGAAGAGCACCACCACGATTCAAGTCCCTACACATGGGGGATTAATTCAGCTGCAAGGATCGTGAATCTTTCCTTCTCACCTGCTAACTCATAGAAAGAAATAGAGTCAACCCATGCGACTTTCGACATCGTTAGCCGCTTTTCAGCATTTCCTGCCTGAGTTGTTGATCATCACCTGATCTCACACGAGTGGCCCCACGCCGAGTGATTCTCTCCTAAAAAAGTCTACATGTGATTTAGTAAATTTGAACCCATTGTGGGATGTTTTGGGAAACATATTTCACTTTTTTAGAAAAACATGCTTTATAGTATAAGTTTTAAAACTATTAGAACTAACCATAAGTGTTGTATTATGAGTGAATTAGATGTTCTTTGCAAGAAATAACAAGTAATGTCCATGATACTGGAGCAATGTGGTAGTTTGGAGTGAGTGTTGCAAGCATCATTCCATATATCATAAAGTAGACAAAATACATGTTTTTGTTGCCCTGAGCCGATTGTTCATCAATTTAATCAACAACCACATCACCATTTTCATATTCACTGAATATTTCATCACTACTTTCGTGTTCACGTAAAAAATTATGTTATACAACGCAGACAACTATTATAGTGGATGTTTTTGCAAAAGATAAAAGTTTGGTGTATATTTTCAAATTTTAAAAGATCTCAAATAATAAAGTTTTTTGACCCAAATTCTAATACTTGACAATTTGGATATTTGTCAAATAATAACAAATTGTATAGGCAAACACTATTTGCAAAGTTTCCCCCCAAATATTATTTGCAAAATCTATGGCCAAACGGGTCCTAGGTTGTTGACTACATGAATTTTTATCTTATTGATAAGGATTCGTTTATCACCTTACAATCCTTTTTCTTCATCCCCAATTTTGTAAAAATAAGTAAAAATATATATTTAAACTACTATTTTCTTCATATTAATTAATTACTCACCTAGTTTGAAATAATTTTATGTCGTGTCACTAATTAATAATTTTATATCAAATTTTAATTCAATATACATAAATATATGTAATTTTTTCTATCAAATACACTGAAACTGAATTAGAGATTTAGATACGCATAAAATGGAGAGAAAGATAAGTAAGATATATATACAAATCAAACTAAATACATATAGATACATAAGAAGAAACACGAACAAGAGAGAAAGTGAGGAAAAAAGAAGAGAAGCGAGCTAGAGAGTCGTATGCATGTGAATATATTTTTTTAAATTAAAATCACTAATAAATTGCACATGACATACTAGATATATGTATCCTTTCAAATTTTAATAAAATTCGTAATGTTATAAACTCGTAAAGAAAAATATTTTGTTCCTTCAACTAAAAACTAGTGAGATTTAGGTAAGTTTTGGTTAATTCATTATAAACTACATAATTAATCCAAAGCCAATCACAGTGGTGAAGAAAGTTCAACAGGTGAGATTTAGCTTTACTCTGTATTTCTTCAGCCCCAAAAATGGCTGCTTCACTTCCTAGAGCAGCCTTCTCTTTACTCTCTTTGCTTAATTCAACCATTAATAAACCTTCCTTATCACCATTTTCATCTCCAAAACCTTCTTTCTTCACTATCAAACCTAAGGTCCAATACCCATACCATATCTTGATTCCAAACAGAACAAAAAAATTGGTTCAATTTTTTGTAAAAGATTATAATTTTTCTGATACCCATTTATGTTTTTTTTGCAGATTACTAATTTTTCTAGGTTTATATCATCATCAATGGCTTCAGAGTCGAAGGATTCGCCTTCTAACAATCCAGGTCTTCATGCTACCCCTGATGAAGCAACTAAAGGTTACTTTTTGCAGCAAACTGTAAGCCCCAAAATTTTGGAACTGTAGATACTGAGTAAATGATTTTTATGGATTTGTGTTAATGACCCCTTTTTGTTTTTTCTTTTTGAATTTAGATGTTTAGAATCAAGGATCCCAAAGTGAGTCTTGAATTCTACTCCAAAGTGTTGGGCATGTCGTAAGTCTTCTATCTAATTTGAATGTTTTTTTCCTCTGTTTGGATGGTTGTTAAGTATTGTTTTATACTGTATCATATAGATTGTATCGTTTTTCGTTGTTATATAACTTGAAACATCAACAATTTGAAGGATTAACCTTCAAGTAAAGTAGGGAATGAGGTAGAACTACTATAAAAAGGTTAAATGATATAATAATACTTAAAGACAATATGACAAAAGAAAAAAGAGAAAGCCGCAATCACGCCAAGTCGGTTGTTACACAAAATGAGACTTTTCGTTGGTACCTAAATATGAATTTTACCATATGATGTAATGAAATTTAAATAACAATCGAAATGAACATTGCATTTAAGCTAGCAACACAATACAATACAACAAGTAACAAGCATCCAAACAAGTTTTTTAGAATGTACCAAAATGTAATTTTTAATGTTGTGGTTTAACATGTCATGTCGATTGAAGAGTTGTCAAAAAAGGAAAGAGACATTCTTTTTGAAATGGACTAAAAAGGAAAGTAAGACAAACAAATTGAATAGAAAGGAGTGTGATTTATGCCTTGTCCATTACAGCTTGCTCAAGAGATTGGATTTCCCTGAGATGAAGTTCAGCTTATACTTCATGGGGTATGAGGTAAGTTTCTGATAACTGTGTTTAGAATGCTGTTTTATCTTCTTTCCTTTTGGATATACTTCCCCAGACCAATTTTTAAATTCATATCACTTGCATTTGCTTACTGGTGGTATAGGATACAGCATCAGCTCCCAGTGATCCCGTTGAACGTACTGCTTGGACCTTTAGTCAGAAATCTACATTAGAGCTTACACAGTAAGAGCTGTATTGTGTATATGGTGCCTCTATGATATTTGCTATTTTCTTACTAACTGGTGACTCATAGTTTCTAAAATTCTATTCGCAGCAACTGGGGTACTGAGAGTGACCCTAATTTTACAGGTTACCACAATGGAAATTCAGAACCACGTGGCTTTGGTATGTGATTTGCACATTTGAAAATTTTGTTTGCTCGACTTTAGAGAGCTTCTTTGTTTGTCTTCATTTTCTGTCCCTCTATACCTCATTGATTTACTTCTCCAGTAAACCTTAACCTTGTTGTGTCTTGAAGTAAAGTGGCAATAGTTCTTTCTTTCCTTTCACTCAATTAGATATCTTAGTGAATTCGTTTTTAGACGAACCTTCTGACAGTTAGGCTCACATATGGGAGAAATCGATAAATTTCTGTTAATTTAAATGTTTGGTAGGTAAATGGCAAGGGCAGGTAAGTGTTGGACTGTGTATGATAAAACGTGATGGTACACTTTATCAAAGGAAAAAAGAAGAGAAAAGGTGAAGATTCTCGTTTTAGGCCAGTGAACATCAAAAGCAAGTTGTCAATTTGAAATGAAGAAAATAATTCTTATAAAAAATGCTGTGTTTCTCAAAAACATATCATATGAGATAGGTGACTTGTTGATTTCTGGAATCCATTTTAGAGAAGGCATTCTCTCTCTGTCCCTTTTTAGTTCCATCTGGCAAGTCTGGAGATCGGTATAGATAAGTTGAAGGATATTGTGCTAGTTACGTTTGAATTTGTTTTGAATAACACTTCAATTGTGTGAAAAGTGGAGTAATTTTGTTCAAAAATTGACTTCTTTGAAATTAAAGACTTTGCCTTGTAAAGAAGTAGCTATATGAAGTTCAAAAGTTGTGCACTTGAAAGTAGCTATATGAAGGTCAACTCAATTGAGATGGTTCGTGGTAGATGAAGGATACGTGTCATTTATTGGGATGGAAAAGTAAAGCCTTTGCCAAAATTGTGATGAATGTAGGCCATATTGTACATTACAAGTGTCCAGCCCAGTTTTATTGACAAATATGTTACAAGCTATGTAGCTATATGAAGTTCAAACGTTGTGCACTTGAAAGTTCTTGACTGCCTATTTTCATTAACTTCTGATACTCACTACTTTGTATCTAACGGCAATTCTATGAGCATCTAGAGCATGTCATTGTAGATGTTACAATTCCTATTTGGTGTTGATTGACTTGTTTCCTCCTCTTTCAGGACACATAGGTGTTACTGTTGATGATGTCTACAAGGCTTGTGAGAGATTTGAAAGTCTGGGAGTAGAGTTTGTAAAGAAACCTCTTGACGGTAATTAAACCTTACTTTATAGGCCTCTTTGAGACGATATTTGTATGAAAATGCTAGCTTAACTAGTGAATTGGACTTGTCTATGCATCACTAAAGAAATACTTTTCTGACTTTTGATTATTTGAGCTTTGATGGATAATCTCATTGGTATAGTAGGCCTCCTAGCTATGAGAAGTGAAACTCAACCTTTCTCACTCATAAATACTCTCATCTTATCTTCTCTTATGTATTTGTTCACGTGCCTGCTATTGGTCTGTAAGATCCTTTCTTGGTTATCTTACCAGTTTTAAAGAATACTTCTTTCTTTCTTTCTCAAGTATTAAGGAATTAAAGTATTCTAGTGCTTTATCTAGATCATTTACAACGTTTGTATTTTATGAACAAATAAATGCTATTTTCCCCTTCAAAGAACCTAAGATTTCTTTTAACCTAAGTTGCTCGGACTCGGGTGTACCATACTGGTGCCAATCTAGAAGTCGTATCCCTCATGATCTAAATTTTAGGATTTGGGGGTACAGATCTAGGTATGGTTACGGCCCAGGTGTGGGGATTCGGCTAAAAATAATTCAAATATCTAAAAGACAGAGTTATAAGAATATGCCTAAATTATGGTGGACTATTTGGAAGGAAAGGAATGCACCGCGAGCAAGTTCAACTCTGAAATTATTGAGTACACATGCATCTCTTTATTGTTTTTGGGTGTAACATGACTATTGCAAATGAGATAGAAGTCATGATAGACTTCTTGAGTTCATTGCACATTCAACTGTGATATTGACCTGTTAATATCTTTAAAGCACCCTTAGTTGCTGGCTTTTTAGTACAAATATCTTTTAACGATAAAAAAGCATATGCCTAATTATTATTTCACCCTAGCTTTTGTCCCTTATTTCTCGAATCAATTTTGGTAGAAGTACGTGTCGCCACAGGTGCAGCACTGAAAGTGAAGAGTCCGCAACTTAGCTTTCAACACGAATTGTCCAAAATTTTCATATAGGAAATGCCTCCGTTCCTTCATCAATCTCTGGCCCTGTCATCACCCACCCTAGTGCAAGCTTTAGATTATCTGGCATCCCCCACTCTATCCCTGTAGACATGAACATACATTGATCTGTCATTTGTATTCACTATGCAAAAAAATATATATATAGACTGATTCTGTTAATTTCTTGAAAAAGTAGCATATACTTGATAAGTTGAACCCTCTTTACTTCAAATCTTGTCAAGAACATGTGCTATAACCCAACCAAGGCAGATCAGTTGAACTATCTTTATTCACCATTGTGGGACTCTAGTACAAGTTGTATACACCTACATATATAAAATGGTGTGGACAAGCAATAGACTTGGTGAAATATTTGCAGGATGATTATTTACTTGATTTCACAAACTTATCAATAATGCCTCCTGGAGGTATTTTTGATAAATGGATGAATTTTATGTGCTTGGGTCTTTTCATGAAATATTTAATTAGATGTAAATATGAGAAGTATCTGATTATAACATGTTTCATTTTACTAGTCTAACTTCAGTTCTAGGAATAGTTGTTTGATCATTATAATTTTCAACTTACCATGATCTTGGCTTGATATTTTGTTTCTGAACTGGATTGAGAAACCACTATGAAGTGTATCCGATTAAAACAAGTTTCATTTGACTAGTCTAACTTCTGTTCTTGAAATAGTTGTTTAATCGTTATAACTTGCAACTTACCTTGGTCGTGGCTCGATATTTTGTTTCTGAACTGGCTTGAGAAACCACATTTTTATCTAACTTTTCTGAAATATCAAATAACATTCACTCCACCCCAACATATCCAAAAGGTGTAGAGCATTTAACAGAAGGTGATACAAAATGGACCCCAAGAACACAGTATTGTATCAACAAGAAATTAAGGGGTCGTTTGGTACAAAAATGAATAATGCAGGGATTAGTAATGCAGGGATTAGCAATGCAGGGATTAGAAATGCAGGGATTATTTTTATCAAGTGTTTGGTTCATTGTTTCTTATCTAATTTTATGTGTGGTTTAAAAGTTTTTAAGAAAAAACTTTCCAATTATACCCTAGAGTTATTATGAGATTTTGTATTTCATGTAATTTTGTCAAAGTAGATAATTAACGGAGTATATTATTTTTTTATAACATTTTTAACTAGTTAGGAGAATAAATTTTTTTTGTCATGTTCACTATTTTCTCACTTAAATTATTTGAGAGTAAATAATTGTCAACTTAATAAATTAGAGTTAATAACTCAAAAGGTCACACAACTATAATGATTATAGAGAAAATTTATTGAACTTTCTTTTGTATCAATAAATTTTAAAAAACTCTTTATCATAAAATAAAATAAAAATATAAAATAAATATAGAAAAATAAATTAAACTATTTTTATACTCGAGATGTGTGTGTAATATATATATATATATACACACACACTCTTGTTTTAGACTACTTGTGTAATGTTTAATGAACTTTCATTAAGAGACAATATTTTACTTATGAATTGTTCTTAAATTCATACATCAACATTAACATATTAGTCGGATTATAATATTTTATATTAATGATAAATAGATTAAGTAATTCATATTTTAGAAATAAAAAATTATATCTAAATAATAAAATTTGTAAGCTAATTTATTTAAATAACTTTATTAGTATAAATATAAAATATAAAATATAAAATATAAAATCAAAAAAATAAATAAAATATTAAAAGGATTTGAGGGGTATTTTTGTCTTTAACCTAGAATAGTCCCATGGTATTAGAGCTAATACCTCCAAATGGAAGGTATTAGTAATACATCCCATAATACCATATTGGAGGCATAACTAATCCATGGATTAATTATACATAGACTCAAATTCCTACCAAACATAGTACTAAATAATACCTTACATAATCCATGGACTATTTCTTCTAATGCAGCCTACCGAACGACCCCTAAGGATAGAAGCTTATGGTTCAGATAGGGGAAATAGCAAGATTTTTTCTATGAATTAGTTAAACTTGAAATTCTTATAAAAAACTCTAATCAAAGATAAGCTAGAAAGAAAGGGGAATTCAAACAATCAGAGCACAATCAGTTAACATCAAGAACAATCAAATGTAACTTGACACCAATTAGATTGTACTCAATCAAATCCAAGAGAGAACGAGAACTCACACAAGAATAATCTAGATGTGGTGTGATTTAAGAGAGGTTGCTAAATAAAATCTAAGATAATCCCTGATATAAATTAATGGAGGGGTTAACCGGACAAATGACGGTGGTCTCGGAAGATTGAAATAGTAAAAGCCTATATGGTTCATGCCTTGTAAGGATGATCCTTCTCGTACTCTGGTTATTTATAACAAAGTTATTGCCAGCGGCTACTACACTTTTTGAAAAAGTGATAAATTGATATGAGATTAAGTGGATAACAGTTATATAAAAGAGCAAGCTTAAAATAAAAAAGGAATCGGGCTAGCTCAATGGACTCTGATTGTCATGTTTGGGACCTCTTGACCAATGTGAACATAGAAAAGATCAAGAATAAGAAATAGTTGAGAAAGTGACCGACTACCAAAAACAAAAGCAACCAGTTACCAGATATATGATTGGAAGCTCCACCCAAGTCAAGGATTTAAGGGGCCGTTTGTTTTGAGGGATAAGGAATAACAATTCCAATATAAAATGCAGGATATTCTTATCCTGCTTTTGGTTAGGGATATTAATTAATCTCGGGATTATTTATCCCACCATTTACACTATTATGATGAGATAAGTTATCCCTTATATATGGTGGGATAAGTCCTATATCCCAATCCATGGGATAACTTTGTTTATCCCATTCCGCATACTGTTTTAAGAGTATTATTTTTGTGAAACTGTTAATCTTTGATTGAGTATCTTATAGTCAGTTTGATTAAACAAATAAAATAATGTCACTAAAGTTTCCAATTAATCAACAAACCTCAAATGAAACCGTAAGAACTTGTCAAAAAAAACAATTAAACGTTAAGCAAGAAAAGATTAGATCTCTGTTTCTGTATTGATCTGCCTGTAGTTTAGATGCTTGAGTTCAAAGATTATTGGATTTTCCATTTTCAAAAAAGATTATTGGATTTTCCCTGTCTAGCACATTCTGAATTAATTAATCATTACCTCGTCTTGTGTTGTTCTTAATTGGATTCCATTCTGTCTATTTTCTGACAGATACTAGACTGGAAGGGCTTTGATCTCTTTTCGATTTCATATAATCAGCTGATCTTTGCATGTTTTTTAGTTCATCTCCTAATTAAGGTAAACATATTTGCAGGAAAAATGAAAGGTATTGCATTTATTAAAGATCCTGATGGCTATTGGATCGAGATCTTTGACACGAAAATTATCAAAGACGCTGCTGGTTCTGCTTCTTAGTTCAGGTAAGTCTTTTCTCATTATTTTGATAGCTATATTTTATTGCTACGAGAAGCCTTATTTTTTTCAAAAATTTTAAAATTTCATTTTGATAACACAACCTAGGTTAAGGCGCTCACTTTCTTCTTGGTGATGTGCAACATTTTTAGGTGAGACTGAGAGACATTTTATTGGTTTATGTGGTTGGGCCTTGAATGCACCGAAAAGAGGAAAACATAGAAATGACGTAACCTACTACCCTTACTGAAGGGAACCTGTCATATCTATGTTTTTTCTTGTCGTTTTTTCATTTAGTTTGGTGCTTGGTGTGGAGAACCAATCTTTGAGGGGTTAGTAATAAGATAGGGGCCAAGTCTGCATACAGTCTACCCTTCCCAGACCTTGCATGTGGGGTTACATTGGGTATAATGTTTTTCTATTATGTGATTCTACTTGATTAACCGTATTGATGATTAATACAGATATACAATGCATGTGTGTGCGCTCATGTTATTACTTACAACTAAATAGTGTTAATAGCGTTTGAACTTTAGAGGTTATCAGGAGCTTGATGCGAAGACATGTAGTCAGGTTTTGGTATACTTTTTTCATATTTTACATTCTTATTGAGTACTTATTAGACATGTTAAGGCGCATTTGCAGACCCTGCATTCGATTAAACTTTTCCCTCGATTCCCTTAACCAGTGATTTTTACTATATTAAATTCCGGTGTCCATGTTATGCATCTTTTAGTCGAGGCTGTACCTTTGTGCTAAATATCTCCATTGTAGGAAGACGAGTAACTTGTTTGTTGTTACAATGCCTATTTCCTTCTGGAATTTTCTGTCACGATGTGTTCTTGTCCATATGATCCCTAAATACACGATTTATTCTGGTGCAGGAGCACTCGAGGCTTCTATCACGAGTCTTGATCAACTCAGAGATCGATTTGAAGAGAGTGTTTTCCAGAAATGAACATTTTCGCGCTGTGTTTAATCTGCTAGTGAATGAATTTTGCGCCATGTTTTAGGCCGAAAAGTTTTTTATCTGTCTAATGTAAAAACAAGAGATGTATACTGTGTTCAAAATAATAGATTGGATGTAACTTCTGTGATTGAGAAATAAAAATTGAATTAGAAAAACTTCAATAATTGAAGCTCTTATGGGCCTACAGCTACATTATTTCAAGGGGAATTTACATGTTTGATCGCTCGATCAAAAATATTTATACACACATAGACATACATACCTATCTCGTTAAATTGTTCGCAAATTCTACTATATTGGTATATGTCTTGCTTCTGTTAAAATTTTCTATGATTGAGAGTTAACAGAAGCCTCTCAAACTTACTTGCAACGATAGGGGTAATGTTTGCGTACTTCTCTATCCATTTATGAATCTATACTTGATATGTTGTCGTTGTGGTATTTTTGCTTATGTTGAAGGTATTTCTCATAAGGTTAGGACGGTATCTGATCGTCTTCGAGCCGCCAACTTTTGTTCTTGATTAATGAAAACATTTTTGACAAATGCTTTCGCAATTGTTTGTTTTTTATAAATTCAAGAATTTCACCTCAGACTAATAAATATAAATTTATACCTCAAAGTTTGATTTAGTTTTACCCCCACTTAGGATATGGATAAATTTGTCTTAAGATTATTATCTCGGGATAATTTTATTCGCGAACCAAATAATTAGTTAAAGCTCACGTTGCAGTAATTTACATTTGGTCCTTCGATAAAAAATAATTACATTTGCTAGTCAATGTATAAAAACTATACATTAATTTTGTATTAAATATTAACATTACACTATGTACATTTGCGAGTTATTATTTGGTGGGTGACTATAAAATATTCTATTTCATTTTTTAAAAATATTTTCCAAATCATGTCGTAGAAAATACGAGACAACCATTTTCTCGATTTTTATTTATTGGTTTTCCATCCAGTGTCCACTATCCGTTATTTGCATTAAGACTTGGGAATTTCTATTCTTACATTAAAAAGATGAAGAAAAGGGAGAAAAGATAAAATTATTGATTCCTCCGATGAGATGCGAATTCAATATTTAAAATATATATAAAAAAGTTCCAATAATTAAATTTTAAATTAATACATATTAAATTATTTTTTAAGGACAAATATATTATTTAAGTTGAAGCTATTAAATTCTATGATCTTCTACATTAATTCTACGTCCTATTCTTGCCTATAACAAATATCTCTGCAAAATTTTGATCATTATTTATTAAAAATAATGTTTTTTTGGAAACCATAAAGTAAAAAAAAAAAAAATTATTCTCGGTTTTTATCCTTCATATTTTGTGATGCTTCCATACTTTTCAGAATCTTTGTAGTGGTAGTTAACAAGATAAAAGATAGTAAATCGACTCGTAGATGTGTAAAAACAGTAAATCGAGCCCTACATTATTATCACTCTGTCATTTTCATACTATTTTCTTCAAATTATTAATTTCGGTATCAGTTATTCAGTTTAACCGACTGTTTGACAATATTTTAAATTTAAAATAATGTGATATTATCTATTTTAAATAAACTTCACGTTATTTTGCCTTAGAGGCTTTCACGTGAAAGTATTCATATTTCTTATATTTAAAACTCTCTTTTCTTATATGAGAATTTCATTGCATATCCAACGAACAAAATAATAAAAGGTGTGGAAAAAGAAAAATTTTATTATATCGCTTTGTAATTGCAATTCACTCCCGTAAAGATATATAATAAATTAATCGATAAACAAATAAAGACAATGAATCGCGACTCAAAAGATCATTTGTCATCTTTGAGTTTATCTTATCAAAATCATTAATTTTTATAATAGAATTAAGTTAAGCTAATTCAAAAAATACTTTTAACATAATATTTTATTCGTAATTCGAAAATTGAAAATCAAAAAATAAAATATATATATATATTTCTAGTACATATATCTACATGTCGTGATCGGTGGTTCTTTTATCCTTCATATATTGTGGTGTTTCGATACTTTTTCAGAATTTTGTAGTCTTTATAACCTGATTTGACACTTTTGGCCTTTTTTATTTCTTTTAAAAAATGCATATATAATTAAAAATAAAAATTAACGTAGTTTATAAATATACGTATCTTATTTCATAAAATCATTTGAAATCTCGATTTTAAAATTCAAATAATGATTTTTAAATTGAGGGACAGAGGAAATAGTAGTAACATAAAATAATTTCTCCGTCTCAAATTACGTGTTACATTTCATTTATCGAAACTACATAAATTTTGATCGATATTTTAAGAATGTATTTTTCAATATGAGAAGAACAACAACTTATAATACTCTTCATATAATTTTTAATAGTTAAATTTAATAACTAAAAGATAAGACGTGATAAATATTTTGAGAAAAAAAAAAAACTTTCTTTAGACCTCTTATTTTAAATTTTATGATATGGTAAAAAAAGAGATCTGAACTCTGAGGAATATAGATTTGCTAAATTTAATGAATGAGAGAATTTTATGCTTCTATCTTTAGGCAAAATTTTCTCAGAGTTTTATGTGTCACATTTATGATTGTTGATGACAAGATAAAATTGAAATATATATATATATACACACACTGTTCAATCACAATTTATATAAAATTCATAAAATTCACTCATTTTTTTACATATATTTCATTCATATATGACTAATGTCAGTTTTTGTCAGTTAAAATTTTTCCACAAACTTTTGACCTTTTACACTTTCACTTGGAAAAGACATTCTCTTGTAATGACAATATATAGAGTATTTATTATCTGATATTTGTATTGAAGCTTGATTAGATATAAATTTTATGTATCAGAGAAAATATTTTTAAGACGCTTTTGATTGAATCTTTTTCGATTGACTAGAACTAAAATCGTGTATTTGGGATTCGATTGAATATGAATTTACTTTTAAAAAAGTATATTTTTAGAGCAGGCACTTTCAAAAGTTTTTTTCTTTTTAATTCAGAAGGACTCAAACATTGGATTTTTTTTTTATTAAGGGTGAAGAAATTTCAATTATTTTAGGATAACGCGTTGGTGAAATAAAAATAAAAAGTGATAATTATTGTCTGTGCGTCATATTTGCTAGTAAATTTATGAAAATTACTTTATTCGTTTGACTTGATAAAGAGTTTAAGATTTAAAAATAAAAATAAAAATTTATGGTTCTAAAACAAATTTTGAATTTGTCATTGAATTTTTTTATTAAGGATAAAAGAAGAGTTTTAAATTTATTGTTTACGTTTAAGGAAAGCTGAACATTCTTCTTTTCGACAAATTGAAAAGAAAAATATGCCATCAAAATAAAATGCTAGATGTGATTTATTCTAATTAATTAAAATCATGATAGATAAAATTAACTAAATATCTCGAGATTATATTTTATCACGCTGATTACTATAATTTTGCTATAATAATTTGAATTAATATGAGTAAAATTATCAATTGTTATATTTATTTAAAAAACTAATATACGAAATTATTATACATAAAATTATAATCGAACGCCTCTAAATCAGAATCCGAGCTAGAAACACGAGTGATTCCTTCACCTGTCAATATTCTTTACCCTGTTTTTTTCTTACTTTATTGTCACTAAAATTATATTCATCGAGCCACAAAACAAATTGTTGTCATATGATTTTCATTTATTTTTTTAACTCTTATAACTTTTTATCCTTAAAATATTTGTATCGATTAGATCATGGCACGTCATGCTGTACCTATATGATTTTTGAACGATTAATTGTCACTTTTAAATTAAAAATAAAATAAAAAAATCCATTGTATTTAATATAAGATAAGATGAGAAAATACATGTATATTTATTATATTCAAAATATGACTTTAAATAGAGGTTTTCTTATGGAAAAGCTAGGTCGTGGTACAATTTTTTAAATAATATATAGGTATGATATCTAGATTTATTTATGTATTACGTTAACTAATTTTATAAAGTTTTTGATTAGTTCGTTTGTCTATTAAGACTTGAATGAAAAAAAATTATTTAACGTATTTTCTATGGTAAGAATTGAGCATGAAACTTCATAATTATTCATTTATATAAAGATGATTGATAAACACGTACAATTTATTTAAACTAATAATAATAGTTCATGGTTAGAAAAGAAAAATAAAAATTGAAATTAGTGTTAAAAAATAATTTTAAAAAAAGAGTGTTATGCTATAACTTGTTAAAATGCTCTTTTAATTGTCTTAGTTAGCTACCTATTAAATTATATATTATTTATTGAAAATTGACTTTTATTTAGAATTAACATAAACATCATAGAACTTAATTTATTGATTGAGATAAATATATAACACATAAAGCTCATCGATATGGATTCTGATCGAATAATTAAGATATTTGAATTTTAATTAAAAAGTTTTATATATGAATCAACAAGATATGTATTTAATAATAAATTATTTTATTTCAAACTCGTGATAACATAATAGATAAAATTGAGATAAAACTTTACTAATCATATATGATTATTTAAATTTTAAAAACAGTTCGATGTATAATATATTTCGAATTTGCTGAAGCTTTGAAATTCTTCACCTTTCTTTCTCACATTGTCGATTATTTTCACATTGTTGGTCAAATTAGCTAGTGAAACACAAGTTGGTAATTAAATATTAAATATTTTGTAATAAGTAAAGAATAATTAGAGTAGAAATTAAATAGTAAACTATTTTTTTTTCCTATTTACATTTGTGTGCTCAGTCTTGGTCTTTATTAAATGGTAAAACAAATAATATTAATTTTTTTTTCATCTCTTAAATTTTTATGATCATTTGGACCTAGCCTCTCTCCTCAATTTGTCCCATCAAGACTTTAAAAAAACAAGCAAATTAATTGCAATTTGATGATTGAGATTGAAAATTAATTGCAAATTGATGATCGAGGGTGGTGAGACTCGTTCATCCTTAATAAGCGGTCTTGTATTCGAGTCTTGTGTATGAATTTTTCTTATGGGAGTGTCAACCTGAATAGTCCATGCAATGCGTAATGTGAATTTAGTCAGAACTTCAATGTAGGTTCCGAACACCTTGTGAGAAAAAAAAAGAATGAACCATTCTTTGAATTAATTGTTGTTGTTTATCATTGTTCAATATATATAGTGAAATTTAATTAAATCTGGATTCGCACCAGAAAATTCTTATGAGGCAGAGAAGTAAAACACTCTCTAATAACAACAACTATGTATCCAACAGGCAACAAGACTCGGATCTAAAACTTTTGATTAAAAATAAAAATACGTATCACGCGGTCACAACTATAACTGATTTTAAAATGCAACATGCCTTCACAAGTTGTTATCATTTGAAAGGTTCTTCAAGTTAACATTTTGAAGTAATTTCTAGAAACTACAAAAATGTTTGGGACAATAATAGATAGTCAAACAAAAACTAGTTATCATTTTCAAAACTTTACAAGAGGAGAAAAAGTAATTAAATGTATTAATAGTTAAATAAATTCAACAAGAAATTATGTTTTAAAAATATAAAAATATTATATTTATTTGCCAGATGGAATTATTCGCCAAGTGTATTAAATTATTATTAAGCTTACCTAAGATGATATTTCTAAGCAAAGAGTCAACTTTAATGTGGACCCCTTACCCATATTTGATTATCCAAAAAACAATGGTCAATGATCAATCAATAATATCATAAGCATAAAAATATTATTATTATTATTATTGTTGTTGTTGTTGTTAACAACACAATAATAATAATAATAATAATAATAATAATGATATAATAATAATATTATATAAAACTAGAGATCAATTAAATAAATATTGTGCATTTTAAAATTATATAAAAAAAAATAACACTGAGATTTTGATTAATTAATATATTTATCACTTTCAAATCTTGAACCACCATGCAAATCCCCAAATATATATTTCCATGTATTATTATTAATATCTATCTTTCTATATGAATGACTCATTCTAATCATACAAAGATTATTTAAATCTCTATAGTTTGTTACACTAAATAAACTAATAAAAATATAAGAGTCTTTTTTTTTTTTTAATTTTTCGTTTGAATCTATAGGTGAAAATCTCAAGTTATATTTTTGTTTTGGTGTCAAGATAAAAAAATTTATATTTAAATCATAAATTTATATGGTAAAATTAGTCGCTCATATCAGAATAGACTAGTTGTTTACATCACACACCCTTAACAAACTTTATACATCAAAATACCTTTAAATTGATTTTTTTTAAAGACGGAGATAATCAACATATGCTAAATTGCCCCATTAGTGAAAAAAAAATATCCTCTTTTTCTGAAAGAGATTTTACGAAATGTAAATTAAATTTGTTCTGAACAGGTACAAAACATCAAGTTCAAAAGAAAAAGATTTTACGTAATTTGAATTAATCAGATATCAAAATAAATAATCAAACACTAGGTGAAATGATATAAAAAATTTATTTTCAATTCTTCCATTCAATTTCCAACATGTAGCTACATAAAACATTAAATGAGTTTTATTGAATGCAAATCGAAATAAACATGACTCAAAACAAGTATCATCATCAGATTTCTTAAAGTCTTACGTAATATAAGGTCAAATTAATCAAAATCTCACGATAAATATCAAATAAGGCGAAATGAAATTTTTTTTTTGTTCCATTCAATAAGTAGCTATGCAAAACATTAAATGAGTTTTACGATGACGCATTATACATATCAAATTAGTCAAGACATTTTCAAAACAAGTACCATATATCAAGTTTGAAGAAAAAAAATTCTTACAACATATAAATTTAAATTAATCAGAATATCACGATAAAATACCAAATAACAGATAAAATGAAATCAAAAACTTCTTTTTCATTAAATTCTGACAAAAATAGAGCTACACAAAACCCCCGAAAAAAAGTCCAAAATCTACTTGGCAATAACCCCCATACCCCCAACACAACTATCAAATCTTCCATAATTGTACTTACATTTTTTTAGTAATAAAACATCCCTATCTCATTTGACTTGTTACAATTTTCATCATTATTGTACAACAAAAAATTATTACTACTATTGGTAGTACTACCACTATTGCCATTGGTACAACAACTTGTAGCAATCTCCTGCATAGTATTTCCAAAATAACCAAAATTAAATTGTTGGTTATTATTAATTTCTTCATAAATAGCACCATCATGATGACCACCAAAACTCATAATTTCTTCTCTTTTAATATTAATAATATCTTTATTAGTACCAAAACTCATTTGGCTTCCATCTGATGAAGAACAACTTGCAACTTCCCCAAAATTTGGATAATTTTGCAAATTGTAATTTGTAGCACCAAAATTTGGATAATTTTGCAAATTATTGGCTATCATCATCAAGTTGTTGTTATTATTGGTGAACAAATTGTTTTGTTGGGCTGCTGGAATAATAATGGGCTGTTCTGGGCCTGTAATAAAAGGCCCAAGATTTTGTTGGGCTTGATGAAGAGAAGTTGATGGAAAATATGGTAATTTTTTTTGGTAATTATTATTATTATTATTATAAGAAGAAGAAGAATTGTTATTAGGTATTATTAATCCCATGAGCTTTTTCTTGAGCTTCGTGTTCCAATAATTTTTGATATCATTGTCTGTTCTTCCAGGTAATTGCGCCGCTATAATTGACCACCTACCAACATAATTGTACACGTTAAAAATAAATAAATTAACGATCTTCTCTAAAAATCTAAAATCAAATCTCTCGTAAACATAAACACTATGGGAGGGTGGGGTGGGGGGAGGGGGGGTTGAAATAAATCAAATAAATAAAGATTTTATCTTAGATCTAAACCCTGTCATGCATGCAGAAAAAAATTGTCTAAAAATGGAAGAATCTTTAATTAAAAAAATCCAACAAACTAATTGCATTTCTTTCTGAACCCTAATTTAAATTTATATACATTTTTTTTTTCCCTTTTCACATTTATTGAGGTTCTTTTTTTTCCCCATTTTTAGTGGGAACAATTTTTTTTTTTAGTCTCAAAGTCATCATAGAAACCTAAAATTATCAAAATAAATAAATTACCTGCTTCCAATATTGGCATATAAGTTACAAATAACTCTATCTTCATCATCAGAAAAATCACCATGCTTTATATTAGGCCTTAAATAATTTAGCCATCTCAATCTACAACTTTTTCCACATCTCCTTAGTCCTGAAAAAAAAATATTCAAACAATTAATACCATAAAAAAAAAACAATTTTCCGACTACAACAATAATAATAACATATTCAGTATAATCACATAAATAGGTCTAAAGTACTTACAATTATAACAGGTAAGTAACTTTTTCCCTACCTTTACAGAATAGAAAGACTGTTTTCGATAAATACGTTCGATTAATAATTACCTGCTTTTTGAGGAAGTGCAATCCAATTACCAGCAGTACCAAATTTATGAATAAAATCTTTAAGTTTTGCATCTTCTTCTGGAGACCATGGACCTCTTTTTACATTTGCTTTATCACAACATGGAGCTCTTCCCATTTTTTCTTTTGTTAAAAACACACTAAAAGTATTTTTTTTTGTTAGATATATAGACAAATGGACAAGAGTCTCTATGGTATAGCTAATATTTATATTAAATAATAAGAGGTGACTTTGGGTTGGTGGGGGTGGGGGTGGGGGGTGGGGGTAGGGGGTGGGTTTAAAACAGTAAAAAAGAAGAAAATTTGAAAATTTTTAAGTCATATATTTATAATTACAAAGTCAAAAGGACAGACCTATTTTTAACTTACTTTTGCTGAACTCTAGCTCTTGTAAAGAAAAAAAAAGTGGTAGTTGATTGGATTTTCTTATATACTGGTTCGATTAATTCAGATCATGAATGGTGCGATAGATAGATCACTTTTAATTTAAATTTGATTTTAATAGCGTCCAGTCATAATTCGATATGTATGATAGCATTACGTTACGAATAAATGAATAATTGTGTGAATCATAGCTATCATAAGGAGAAAATTACGCTCATTGATGAAACTAGAATTTTTTTATTGAGGTGATATTTAAAATATAATTTTTTTTAAAAAAGTAAATATTTAATAAAGTTTTAAGATTTTGAATCTATGTTTTAAATATGGAAAAAACAATTTAACTTTACATAAGCTATTTAATAATTCGGTATTCTAATTTTATTCATAAATATATTTCATTGCGAATTTTTTTCTATACTCAAAACTTGAACCAGATACGTATAACAATTTATAATAATGCATAGACTTTTGGGTTTGTTTAAGTAAGTAGTCTTTCTCTTAAACTTCAAGAAATCCCCAAGAGTTTCATAAGTTTGATATAAAATAAAGTTAATTAATTGACTAATTGACGGCTAATTAGTTGGGATCACATAAATTATTTTGACATGTTCCAAACAATAGGCTAATAATTTCTAGGTAGACTCCATTTTTTCTAGAGCTTATCTTAATTAGATTTATTTACATGAGTCAATTATATAACATTAGTAGAATACTACACCTACCTAACAAAAATTATTAGCCATTTATACACAATTAAAAGGATACTCATGTGGAATGTAAGTGCCTCATGGTTTCACTAAAAAAAATATATATATATATATTAGTAAAAAATAGTCATGTTAAAATATTATTGAAATGAGTAGTTATAATAGCAAATAATAGGATATTGATACGATAAAGGATATAACACGACTGCTTGCTAATTTTCGATCTTTATACCCTTCTATTTAAGATTGTGTCTTCAATCAGCGACAGGAGTGTTATATATGTTAGGTCAAATTTAATCATCTCTCTAACATTTCACACCTTCTCGTTGGAGCAGATATTAGGGCATCTTTTTTTTAACATGCCCAAACTGTCTCGATCAGCCTTTGCTTCTCTCATCTTGTCCATCACGTACGAGCGTCACTCCTATTTTATTTCAGAAATATCTTCGGACTTATTATATTTCTCATCTTGGTCGGAGTCAATATCCTCAATTACGTTGTTCTTATTTTCTGAATATGTGAATTCGTAGACCACAAAAACTCCACTCAAACATCATTGTTAATTGTAACCACCACTCTATAAATTAAACTTATCTTTTTAAGTCTTAGCTTGGCCAATTTTGAAAACAAAATACAATTTCTTTATTTATTTATTTTTTTTAAAAAAAACTCAAAATAATTCATCTAATTACTTATGGTTTTTAATTTCTTTAATATTTTTTTTCTTTTTAAAGGTTTGACATGTCTCTCAACAAATGACCAAACATAATAAAATGAATAGATTGTCTGCTAACACCTTATCAATTATGAGATTTTTTACAGTGACTTATGATAATGATTATTAATATTCACTTTATTGATTGACTTATCAATGTTCTTTTTTTTTTTGAATTGTCACCCTTTTTAATTACAACCTTTTTTTCCTACAAAATCCAATGAAAATCCCCCTTTTTTACTTACTTAGTACATCTTAAAAGAGATCATTAAAACAAAACAATTTTTTGTTTTTTCTAAAAAAAAAAAATGGCCCATGATTTGACTTGATCTTTTCTTGATTTAAACTATGCTTAAAAAATTGATAATTACTTTACTTAGTATTAACCATGATATGTTCTGATTAACACCTAACACATGATAAAATATTATTTATATATTTAACGCTTTTGGAAAGAAAAAAAAAGTTTATATATTTTCAAGTGTTTATTAAATATAGTTAAATTAATTGCATAAAATTCTTATAAACTTTTTAAATTTTATTTCAAAAATCCAATGAAAATCCCACTTTTTCTAATTAGTTACATCTTAAAAGAGAAGGTCAAAATAAAGTTGATAGTTGTTAAAAAAAAAGAAATTTTTTTATTGGATGAAACAAACTACACTTACTAATTAGGCAGCTTTTTAATCACTAAATTTTTTGGCCCATGTTTCTGACTTGATCCTTTATTGGTTTAATATATCATTAAAAAATAATAATAATTTAGTCTTTACCCAGTGGAAATTAAGTACTAAGTTTAGTACAAAAAAAAACAAAAAGAGTTAACGTGTCAACTTAGGTTTCTATCATGTACAAAAATACAAATTCCTAAGGAAGTGTTAAATCAATCCATTTCCCTAAAATCAATTCATATTTAGTGTAAATTATTAAGTGATCGAGTCTGAGAAGTGTGGTGTATAAATATTTTTATTTTTATTATGATATATTATCGATTTAGGTAAAATATGATAAAATTAATATGAAAAGAAAATACAGTAGTGAAACAGTTATGCTGGATATAATGGAAAAGAAAAGTATAGTAACAATAACACATACAATGTCGTAACCAAAGCAAAGGAACTAACAAGTTGTAATAATAACAATATTGATAAAGAAGGCTAAGATAATATTCGATTATCTAAAAAAAAGTTATTTTTAATTTTCGATCGCTATATCTTTTTATTTAGGATTCGGTAAGCAACGAAATTGTGTGGGTGGATAGAATTCATCCACACCTGAAACAAAGGTCTTTATTTGAGCTCTTGATATGATAATTTTTTTAGCGCTACTAAAACTTGCACCAAAATCGAGAGTCAAAATTGATACACAGAATTAATTTTAAAGGTAAATTGATCGATTGTATATCGTGGGCTTTGCATTCGTTAATTTATGTAAAAAATTAATAATTAAAAACTCGAAAGATTATACCAGCTTTCTTTAAAAAATATATATATATAATTTTTTTTGTGAAAAATATTTAAATCTGTCTGTCGATTTTCTAAAACTTTATTAATTTTTAACGGACTTGGTGTATTTTCCTAATTTTTGGATAGATATTATCTGTCGATTTTTTGTCTCTCAGTTTTTACATTTTCTAAAATAGTATTTGATAAACTTTACATGATATAAATTTAAATTAATTTAACAGATATCAAACACATAATACAAAACAAAATATACTCATTGTTGGAGCCTTTCATTTCTTTTCTTTCTTAAATTTAATGAACGCGAATAAAATACTTAGAACGCGTTTGATATTAACGAATTAAATAATTGAGGACGAATAGATGACGAATGACGATATCGTATGCTTATATTGATTCTTATTTTATAATCTATGATAGCTTCATGCATAATTATATTAATTTTTTATTGTGCAATAAAAATTCAATTATTGGTCCTAAAATAAACAAATTACCAATGAAAGTATATTGGTCAAACACATTATTATTGTTCCAATTATATCATATATTCAGTAGGACAAGACAACACACTAATGTCAAAGAAGAAATATCATTTTTATTTTAACATTGTTAACAATAAATTTTGAATCCTAACTTGGGATAGATATAGATTAATCCATAATCACTTTCATATAAATAAAATAAGTTATTAATACTTTTACCAAGTAATTTATTTTCTCACATGTAATTAAGACTAAGTCAATTGATTTTTGTTGGGCTTTTTATAAATAAATTTATTTAAAAAATTATAGGGAATTAATATTCAAGTTTAGATCTCTTTATTATATCTACAGTGTGATTGTCAGATGGGAACACTACATTAAAAAAAATGAACTTTAACGGTAATTTATTAGTAACTATAACTAAATAGGGATTTTTAGCGACAATTAATACTTTGTTTATATGTATATAAAGATTTTAGCGACATTGAATCTAAATAACACTAAATTAAAATCAGTAAAAATATTAGCACTCTTTATTAATGTGTCGATTTATTGACGCTAAAAGTTATTTTTGTTAAAATGACAATGGGTAAATCTTCAAGATCAAAAGTTAAATTTGTTATATTTTAAGGAGTCGTTTAGTTCACAGACAAAGTTATCTCAGAGTTATAGTCCTGAGATTATAATCCTTAAACTATTTGTTGCACATTCAAGATGAGATAAAAACGACACCAAATTTGACGTATAAATTTATTTCGTAATTAATTAATTATATATCTTCAATCAAATTAACTAGAATTTTAATGTCAAATATAATTTTAAAATATTTCATCTTATTCCGCTTATTAAACGAACTCTAGGTATTGCTCATGGGATAAATTGGTCAAAAGTTGAAGCATTCTTGCGAGTTACAACTTTACGCATACCATATAATTTAAAATTTTCACATAAATAGCCAACAATTTATTTATTTAATAAATATAGATAGATTATATCTTAATTAATTAGGGTAACTTTCACATATAGAAATAAATAATTTATATTTGTATGCTATAACAAAGTTTGTGTAATTGCGCTCCATAATAAACATATAACTGTATAATTCGCTATACATATACCATTGTATAATTCGCTGGCCTAAATTGTATAATTCGCTGACCTCGCTAAATATATACAATTGTATGATTCGCTGGCCCAAAATTGTATAATTCGCTGGCCTATTTCGGTGCAATTGTATAATTCATTGGCCTATTTCATTGCTATTGTATAATTCGCTGACCTATTTCGCTGCAATATGTGTATAAAATTTGTTTTGCATACAATTTAATCGAAGTAAAATGGTTGTATAATGTATAATTATAAGTGTAGGAAGAAGATATATGTTTTTCTCTCGCTTTATACAAAAACAGAAATACAATTTATACAC